AGCCGATGCAAAGATATATACAGACACTCCTGCCCTAGTTTGTTTCATCGAGCGCCGCCACTCTTGTTCTAAACCATGCAACATAAATGAAGAGATAAGATCAAGTGCCCGTGCGGACGAGCCAGTCTCAGCACATGAGCTATACCAAGAGCTCAAGTTGCGCACCTCTTCGCCACATTGCGTGAACTCAATCCTATCCGCCAAATTCAACCAATCAAGGCGTTCTCTTAACTTAACACTGATTTTTCATACAGAGCCCTGCACTCATACAACTTTTCCTGGCCTCTACCAGGCAACATTACCTTGGAAACTCATCACGAGTAACACGGCTGTCATAACGAGAGACGGCTGTTTATTTCCGGGCGCCAGAAACAAGCACTCACCCGAGCAGGCCTTTGCCGGAGAGAAACTGGGCGAAGACAAGACACCCACCCCGGGTCCGGGTTCATCACCCGCCCACACGCGACCACAAAAAAACACCCCCCACACCCCACCACCACCACACCCCACACCCCCGAAGACAAACGACAAGACAAGTATACAATGACACCAAGTTCAAAAAACTGAATCAGCAAACTGGTTTTTTTTAAACTGATTAAATTTTTTTTTTTAACAACATGTTTTGGTTTTAATTATACTTGTTCAGGCGTGTACTGGGGGGGGTCCAGGGGGTCCGGACCGCCCTGCTCGCGCAGAAACGCATCTAAAGGAGGTTCTAATTTCAACATTTTCAAGGGGGAGGCCCCTCAGACCCCCCGCTCCGCTGCTACCCGAGTTTGGGTTTACGGTTTAGAGCCCCCCCTTGGTATAAATCGTGTACCACGCCCCTGTTGTAATGACATTGTCATCACATCTTGCGGTTTTATTTTTTATTGCATTGTGAAAGGTCCAAAAAATTATGGAATCACGACGCCCCCAGAAAAAAATCTGGATACACCGCCTGATGTGTGTGTGTGTTGTTATGTGTGTGTGGTGTGTGTGTGTGTGTGTGTGTGTGTGTGTGTGTGTGTGTGTGTGTGTGTGTGTGTGTGTGTGTGTGTGTGTGACGTGTGTGTGTGCGCGCGCCCGCGAGTGTGTATTACTATTAGCTACTGTCAACTGAGTATACTGTGCTTGTGTCGTGTGTATATTTGAGGAAACAGCCCTGGAGAAAAGCCATGGAAAGTGGAACAAGAGCCCTGGAAAATGAAAAAGTTGCCCCCGAAATTTTGGGGGAGTTTGCAAAAAGAGCCCCGAAAAACAAATTACTTTTTTTCACTGGTTCCAACTTCCAAGTGCCCGAGTGTGTGGCTGTGGTACTTACCGTTAGCGGATGCATGTCGGATCGCGGCAGATATAGCCTCCAAAACGCCACCAGTAACATCTCGAGTTGTTGTGCGTTTTGCTGAGCCGACTACTTTGTCGCCAGCAAGTAGAATCGCGTCAGTGTTGGTACCGCCGACATCAACTCCTACAATAACCGGCACCGCCATGGCGCAAATCCACTTTTTTATGCAGATTTCTGTGTATCATCAACTGATGCACAGACTTTCCGGAAAAAAAAATTCACAAATCATTTACCTGCCCACATCTGAGAACAATATATACAGAGAAGTGAAACGGATTGGTTATACGTGATCACGTGCCATGGTGCCATGTTTATGCGTAGAAAACACGGTCACGTGACTGCTAAACAGACTACACCGCCGAGACAAGCACTCAGCTGATGTTTTGTACTACTACTAGCCTCGTAACCTCATAAAGAATAGTCTTGAAAAGTCAAACGGACTATAACGAAGACGGAGAGACAAGTTAATCAAATTGACAGATAGCGTAAGTAACATAAAATTGATAAATGTTAAAGGAAAAGTCAATGTAATTTGCAAATGAATGTCACACTGTCGCCGTGTCGGTCGTATCGGTCATCGAGGTCGAGCTGCATATTTCGTACACTACAGTAGGCTTACACTACAGTCCAGACTCAGCTGATTTTCAACAAGCGAAACTATACTAATAGTAATAATACTATAGTGACTGTGATTAGTGTAGTAATATTAATTCGACATTTCGGCTCATGCACAGTACTGACAGTAGCTCCAAGAAACGGTATTGCTATAGGGTTAGAATAC